AGACTTGAATAAGAGGTTTTAAGCACAGTATCATTTAGATGAGACAGGATACTCATACCTTTTTGTTTTGGAGCATAGTGAAATAATTGAAAGCTCATTGAAGCTATAAAAGTCAACTGAAGTCATGTTTTATGTTAATGTAAAAACTGTGATTCCAAACTTTGCATTTGAGAAGCCCAAGTTCCCAGTCAGACATACTTTGTTCTATTGAACTATTCTGAATAACACCCTACAATAAAAACTGCTTTTAAATGAAACTCTTGAGACTTTACTTAAGAGGACAAAAGTGGTATTTCTCAATACCAAAGGCCCTCAAACTCTTGTAATAGTGTGTATGGGTATGTGTGTGTGTGTGTGTGTGTGAGGTGTTTAAGATTTTCCTGATGCACTTGATCCTTGTTTGCATATTTCACACTTTCACATTCATCTCCATGCAAAGTGTATCATCAGACTGAACATCAGAGGACAATTATTAGGTGACAACAGATTGGATCCCTGGGAAGACAAGTTGCACAGGTGCATTGAAAACCTCACTCCTCATTGAAGTCTGAGGCATGTGGATATAGCTCATCTGCATTACCCATGTCACTTTAGGTTGGCTTTTGTCATGCAATGGATTATTTACTAGCAACACACCTGGTGATGAAGTGGGCAGGGGTAACAGCTCCAACACTTCCACAAAAATGCCATACATGGCTAATGTTTGGGATGTCACAGTGTGACCCACCCTTTTCAATATCATCTCAATGTGTTGGATAATGTCATCACAAAGATATTGAATGACAAAACTGAAGGTAAATGATATCTTTCCTGTATTACACATCTCCATCATTATAATTTATAATCACTGGAGTGTGCCTACAGGTGCAAACAAGAGGCGTCAGATCCACCGATCTTGGACACCAACTTCAACCATGACAAAGCATGATCAGTGATTTCCAGAAAGCGGCATGGCAATGGCAAACGCTTCACCCATCAAATCTGAATCAACTCCGCTGTACTTGCCAACGCTTTACATTACGCAGTGGATCACCTATGTCGAACGGTTATTTATCATGTAAGCCTGAACATTTGTAGAATACAGTAGTGTCTATTAGCATATATGTATGAACTTTATTCAAAGTTCTGCGCGAAAATGTTGTGCAATGTACAACTTCGCGAAACAGGACAGGTTGCATTATATACGACAGAGAACTTGTTGAAAGCAAATAGTTGTTGACATTGTGTAATTGAGGCATAAATGGGTGCAGGTGGTGGAATAGGGAATGGGGCATTCCCCCTGCGGAGGCACGTGAGCGTTAGATTAGTCATGCAGTAGTGTAGAGAGGGACCAGGAGGGCGAATAGATCATCATTCCACCAGGCATCTGCATCGTCGGAAGCACTAGAGCCCATTCCACCTGGTGATGAGTGCGTGATTCGTACTTTTACACGCGCATATCTCTCATCTTAAAACGTCCGTCCTCGTATCACCATCTTAAATCCACCATCCCACGTCATACGTCACACCGTCAACGCCACCACGTCCAACGTCCAGTGTCTAACGGCTTTTCATCTCCAAAATCAACTCGGCCGCAAACGTGTTTCCAACGTTTCACCAAGCTCATCGTGTACCCCGCACCCATAAAGCAAGCTGGCACCCAACAATACCTGGATAACTCAGCCAAGAGTCAACGGCAGATTCGTGGCTAGAGACAGAGCCGCTACCATTACACCCTCGTCTAATACAACCTCAGGTACATCCACACCATCTACTGAAAGTTCACTCATGCTTTTGCACAAGTGGCTACCATCTTTATCATAAAACTAAGGCACTTGCCTGTAGAGCTGTGTGTATAAGTCCACAAGTTTTATGAAAGGCCTTTCATAGGTGTGTCCTGTGTCATTCTTTCTCATAAAGGCTATGTTCTTTTCATAAAATGTAGGCAAAGACCACAGGACCCTTTCATAACATTTCTTAGGAGCTTTCATAAAAGCTTTCATAATTATTATCATGCACTTTCTATGAATCTTTCATTGAAGCTGTTCAGTTCTTTCATTGTACTTTTCATAATTAAACCTGTGCACTTTCAATAGGTATTTCATTCACTGGGTTAGGTGTATTCATTGCCTTTTTCATAATTAATGCTGTGCACTTTCATTGAATATTTCTTTAGGAATATTGGGTGCTTTCATTGCTTTTTTCATAATCAATCCTGTGCAATTTCAATAAATATTTCATTCACTATGTTAGGTGTATTCATTGCCTCTTTCATAATTAATGCTGTGCACTTTCATTGAATATTTCATTAGGAATATTGTATGCTTTCATTGCTTTTTTCATAATCAATCCTGTGCAATTTCAATAAATATTTCATTCACTATGTTAGGTGTATTCATTGCCTCTTTCATAATTAATGCTGTGCACTTTCATTGAATATTTCATTAGGAATATTGTATGCTTTCATTGTACTTTTCATAATTAAAGTTGTGCAATTTCAATAAATATCTCATTCCTTAGGTCAGGTGTATTCATTGCCTCTTTCATAATTAATGCTGTGGCCTTTCATTGAATATTTCATTAGGAATATTGGATGTTTTCATTGGACTTTTCATAATTAATGTTGAGCAATTTCAATAAATATCTCATTCCCTAGGTCATATTATGGTCCATCCAATGGGTCATTGGGAGGGTGGTCACATGACCAATTTCCAAAAATGGTAAAAAACAAAAGTTGTAGCTCTTTACCATAGCTTCCTGAATCAGTTGGAATTATGTCCTAAAGTGCTTCCATTGTGGAGATATGAGGTAAAAGGTTTTCAAAAGCGCCGCGTTTTTTTTTGTTTTTTGCATTTTTCTACGTGAAAAGAACACTAAACAACATGATTTCAACAGATTTAGAAAGCTAAGAGAAGGGGCTACAACTATTGTATCGTGGGAAATTTCTCCCAAAAAGGAAGGTACATGCCCTAAAAGGGTAATTGACACTGACAGACTACAAAAGATTGCTGATATACTACAAAAGTAAGTTATAGCCTACAAAGTTTACTAATAGACTACAATGGTTTGTAGTGTCCGCTTTTTTCATTACAAAAGTTAATAGTGTTCGCTTTTTGAGACTACAAAAGTTAGTAGTGTCTATTTTTTCGGACTACAATGGTTTGTAGTGTCCGGTTTTTGAGACTACAAAAGTTAGTAGTGTCTGCTTTTTCAGACTACAATGGTTTGTAGTGTCCAGTTTTTTCATTACAAAAGTTAGTAGTGTCTGCATTTTCAGACTACAATGGTTTGTAGTGTCCGCTTTTTTCATTACAAAAGTTAGTAGTATCTGCTTTTTCAGACTACAATGGTTTGTAGTGTCCATTTTTTTCATTTCAAAAGTTAATAGTGTCCACTTTTTGAGACTACAACGGTTTGTAGTGTCCACTTTTCTGACATATAGTATGTAGTGTGGTTAACTATGTATATATAGGTCATTGGGGATATGATTGAAGGATTGGGATGAGTTGACATTCTGCCACTTATGAATATTTGCTTTTGATGTCAGGTCCATGGCTGTTTTCCATACTTGCAATCTGTCATGTCTTTTCACATGGGAAGCCACTATCCTATCTTTGATGTTGGTCAACCTTCCACTCAGATCAGTATCTGCTGTCCTATGTCTGACCACAGTCAACCTTCACATGATTTTTTTGGAGGGATAAATTCTCTGTCCTACCAATGCAACTTGTCACGTCTTTCAATACCAAGACCATTTGTCATTGTCCAAGCCTTTACCACTGGGGTCAGCCTTGAGTAGATCAGCCTTGAGTAGATTGATTTAAAGGTACCAAAAGTGAATTAAATAGGTGGTTGGTCCTGTCTGTTTTTCAATGTCAATCCAGGATTCATATGAAGCACACCCTTTGATTAGATAGGATAGTGGCTTCCCATGTGAAAAGACATGACAGATTGCAAGTATGGAAAACAGCCATGGACCTGACATCAAAAGCAACCATTCATAAGTGGCAGAATGTCAACTCATCCCAATCCTTCAATCATATCCCCAATGACCTATATATACATAGTTAACCACACTACAAACTATATGTCAGAAAAGTGGACACTACAAACCATTGTAGTCTCAAAAAGTGGACACTATTAACTTTTGAAATGAAAAAAGCGGACACTACAAACCATTGTAGTCTGAAAAAGCAGACATTACTGCCTTTTGTAGTCTCAAAAAGCGGACACTATTAACTTTTGTAATGAAAAAAGCGGACACTACAAACCATTGTAGTCTGAAAATGCAGACACTACTAACTTTTGTAAAAAGCGGACACTATTAACTTTTGTAATGAAAAAAGCGGACACTACAAACCATTGTAGTCTGAAAATGCAGACACTACTAACTTTTGTAGTCTCAAAAAGCGGACACTACTAACTTTTGTAGTCTCAAAAAGCGGACACTACAAACCATTGTAGTCTGAAAAAATAGACACTATTAACTTTTGTAGTCTCAAAAAGCGGACACTATTAACTTTTGTAATGAGAAAAGCAGACACTACTAATTTTTGTAGTCTTTGTCTGACCTTTGTGGTCTATGTCCAACTTTTGTAGTCTGTTAGTAAACTTTGTAGGCTATAACTTACTTTTGTAGTATATCAGCAATCTTTTGTAGTCTGTCAGTGTCAATTACCCTTTTAGGGCATGTACCTTCCTTTTTGGGAGAAATTTCCCACGATACAATAGTTGTAGCCCCTTCTCTTAGCTTTCTAAATCTGTTGAAATCATGTTGTTTAGTGTTCTTTTCACGTAGAAAAATGCAAAAAACAAAAAAAACGTGGCACTTTTGAAAACCTTTTACCTCATATCTCCACAATGGAAGCACTTTAGGACATAATTCCAACTGATTCAGGAAGCTATAGTAAAGAGCTACAACTTTTGTTTTTTTACCATTTTTGGAAATTGGTCATGTGACCAACCTCCCAATGACCCATTGGATGGACCATAATATGACCTAGGGAATGAGATATTTATTGAAATTGCACAACATTAATTATGAAAAGTACAATGAAAGCATCCAATATTTCTAATGAAATATTCAATGAAAGTGCACAGCATTAATTATGAAAGAGGCAATGAATACACCTGACCTAGGGAATGAGATATTTATTGAAATTGCTCAACATTAATTATGAAAAGTACAATGAAAGCATTCAATATTCCTAATGAAATATTCAATGAAAGCCCACAGCATTAATTATGAAAGAGGCAATGAATACACCTGGCCTAGGGAATGAGATATTTATTGAAATTGCTCAACATTAATTATGAAAAGTCCAATGAAAGCATCCAATATTCCTAATGAAATATTCAATGAAAGCCCACAGCATTAATTATGAAAGAGGCAATGAATACACCTGACCTAAGGAATGAGATATTTATTGAAATTGCACAACATTAATTATGAAAAGTACAATGAAAGCATCCAATATTCCTAATGAAATATTCAATGAAAGCCCACAGCATTAATTATGAAAGAGGCAATGAATACACCTAACCCAGTGAATGAAATACCTATTGAAAGCACACAGGCTTAATTATGAAAAGCACCCTGTGGCCTTGCCTATATTTTATGAAAAGAACATAGCCTTTATGAGAAAGAAAACACAGGACACATCTATGAAAGGCCTTTCATAAAACTTGTGGACTTATACACACAGCTCTGCAGGCAATTGCCTTGGTTTTATCATAAAAGTGGTAGCCACCAGTCGCTTTCGGACATACTAGAGCCTGCCTCTCCGTTCGAGGATCTCTTTGGATCAACGTCAAGTCCTCAACTAGGAGCCCCACAACAAACCGCACAGCTCAGCCCTGTTAAACCACCGCAGGACCTTCCACCCATTATGTCTGCCCCAGTCACCCTATGCAGCTTCAGCGGCGAAAGAGACGACAATGTCCAGCCAGGCGAGTTTCTGAAGACCTTCGGCCGCTTCACAACGTCCGCCTGCATCACGGACGACGACCTCATCATCACATCCTTCGGAGACCACCTCAAGTACGGGTCCCCTGCAGACAACTGGTTCGCAGAGCTAACCAGCACGAAGCAGACGTGGAAAGAGGTAGAAACAGTGTTTTTGCAATGCTTTCCGCCCGTCGAGAAGGCTAAAAGGACGGAAACCGAGTTAGAGAGGGAGTTGTGTGAATTAAGGTTGAAGACAGGGGAGTTGGGGAAGAAGGAGAAATACGCAGGCGAAGAAGTCTACACCCACGTCATATTCGCAGAAAAGGCTCTCAGCCTCGCAAAACAAGCCAAGATCAGCACGGGGTCGAATTCGATCTGGAAGGTCAGAGACGAGCTACCCAACATTATACGCCAGAAGGTCAAGGAAACATACCCAACCTGGACCGAATTTTGTGCAGCGATCAAAGGGGTAGAAATGGCTCATATACGAGATGGGGTGAAGAAGTACCAGAAGGAGAAGGAGGAGAAGGAGAAAACGGAGGCGGCTATAGCAAGCCTACAACGCTTACACCTGCAGGGACAACGTCGCCTCCCAGCCGCGCCCACATCCTCAGTATCAAACGTCAGTCAAACCCAGCAGTCATCAACCTTGGGAGGTCAACGTAACAACATGCCACAATCCAATTCAACCAACACGAATGCATACACAGCCCCATCAAGTGGCCAAGGCAACCTGCCCCGCCCAGCTCCCTCGCCAATCACTGAAGCTGATCGAAGTGCGTTAATCCGCAGCTTGGCCCTCTACCCCATGCAACCCAACACCGAAGCAGGCATCGCAGTGTGGCACGCCCAACTCAGGGAATGGAAGGCGAAGAATGGCGAAACTGCTGAGGTTACAGTAAACACAGGGTTTCCACTACAACCAGGGGGTGAGGCCCCTGGTTCAGGGGAGTGCTACAGATGCGGAAGGGGAGGACATCGCCGCATCGACATGCGCTGCACAACTGACCAAATCAACAACAAGGAGCGCACGTTCCACACAATATGTGGCCGCATCCTTCGAGCTGCGCCTACCTCTCGAGTCAACTTCGTCAGTGATGCAGATGATGAATTCAGCTGGCTCAACCATCAAGCCTTCAGACCCACGCCGAGCCCGGGAAATGGAGAAGGGCCGCCTGCATAGGAGTTGAGTGGGTGGCCCCGACTTTAGTAGGGCCTACAGAGGTTGACTGCCCCAGCAGTCAGAACAGTCTCAATGATGTATCTACCATGCGCCATAATTCATCACTCATTGATTTGTACACTGTTGGGGACGGAGATAAGACATGGGATACATTAAGACAAGGAGAAATGCCCTTTGTGCATGGACCACAAGGCGAAAAAGTTAGAGTCAAGGCGGTGTTTGATGGAGGAGCGATGGTGGGCGCTATGTGTACATCATTCTTCAAGAAGGTCCAGCACAGACTTCTAGGCCAAACCACACCATCCAACAGACGTTTGCGTGTGGCGAATGGCACCATCGTACCCTCACACGCAGTATGGACTGGGATGTTGGAATTGGGAGGAGTTCAGGCGAAGGCAGAGTTTGAAATCTTCGATAGTGGAGGCGGCTGGGAATTCTTATTTGGGAAACCGCTACTACGTTGCTTCAAGGTGTTGCATGACTTTGATGCGGACATGGTCACCATTCACGCTGCTGCTCATGGACCAGTCGTATTATGCAACAGCGTCAGCCAATGTGCCCCGAAGACTCCTTTAGGCGTTAGCCTCACACTCAGTGTGGAACAGCGGGAAAACTCAGTAGGGGGCTCTTCAGGCGTGAAACCCTCTCCGAGGCAAGTTTTGCATCACGAGGTCTTAGACGTTGAAGTTCAGAATGACGAGTCGGATTGCATTTTAGGTGGTACTAACGACATGTCAACTGTAACAGGTGGGTACATCGTAAACGAAGATGAAAGTATAGTGCAGGAAGAAGAAGAGTGGTTGAAGGAGGCCGAGGAATGCGAGAGAGAGAGTATACCACAGGAGAGCCATGAAGGAGTACGAGCCATGGACCAGAAGCGGGATGAGCAGGGATCAGAACGTTGTACAGACCAGGGGGGAGGTAACATACCCCCCTCGAGGGAAGTACAATATCAAAGTGCTGCTTCAGCAGGGGCGAGCGAAACTGATGATTTCCTTGTTGCAGTCCCTAATAGTGTTCGCAGGTCCAGTCTACAGGACTGAAAATATACATAGGACTGAACTGGACTGAACCACGGTCCGGTCTTTTCCAGTTGCCAGTTGCCCACATTTGTGGTCAGTCCAGTTGCCAGTTGCCATGTTTTTGTAAATATATAAAAACCGAAAAAGACCGGTTTAGACCGGTTGCAACCGGTCTTTCGTCTCATCACATATTGTACCTTACTCATGCACATTTTACTTAATTTTCGGTCCCTGAATCATCAAAAACGGTCAAGAATTGGTTGAGATATGGCCAAAAACATTTTTATACGCAATTTGAATGTATGTTCTCTCCGTTTTCACCATATCTCAGTCAAATCTTGACCGAATCGCTTCAAATCTTGGCCAGCGTACGGAGAATTAAATTATCTATCTACGCATGCTATATACGTGAGGTAACATTTAATATATCTGGCACAATAAATTTTTCAACAAAAGACCGGTCGCAACCAGTCTGGACCGGTTTTTTTTTGTGTTGTGGACCGATTAGGACCGGTCCAAAGCGGTCCGGTTGCGGTCCCTCAATATTTGGATCGGTCTAGACCGGTTGCGGTTGCCAGTTGCGTCGTTTTGAGGTAAAAAACTGGACTTAACTGGACCTGCGAACACTAGTCCCTAACAGCGCCATGAAAGCCTCAGAAAGTGCCATGCCAGCCGAGAATGCCCCTATATGCCACATAAAACTGTTACAGGTGGAGCGAGAAGATCTTAGTGGGGGGAGTGACAAACCCCCCTCGAGGGGAGTACCTACCTTCCCAGTTGATCAACATAAGACCACCCCAGCTGACACGCCATGCCTTGTGTTACCAGTTGCCAATGCATCAGATGTCCAGCCAGAAGACACGATCTTCACACGCCAGACTGAGCCCTTCCTACAAGCCTGTGTAGAGAAGATATTGGAGCTTGTGCAGATAGGTGACGACATCACAGCAGACCAACGCAAGGAAGTCAAGTCACTCATCGCTGAATTCGCTGACTGCTTCGCCTTATCACTCAGCGAGGTCAATCTCATTCCAGGCACAGTGCACAAGCTCGACATACCCGAGAACACATCATTCCGCACAAAGATTCCACAACGCTCGTTCAACCCAGACCAACGGGCCTTTATGGAGGCAAAGGTTGACGAAATGCTGAAGGGTGGTATAATACGTCCTATACACCCAAGGGAGGTCAAATGTGTCGCGCCCTCAGTGTTGGCCCAGAAGGCGCATGAGAACACAGGCCTGTCCTCAGACGAACTCAAGCACAAGGTTAACGATGAATGCGTGAAGCACGGTCTGCCAACTGTGTTCGACCTACCACCTCGCCCACCTCCTGCTGAAAATGGACCCACAACCACGTCTCCAAAGAAATGGCGGCTGTGTCAGGACTTCGGTGAAATCAACAAAGTTACGCCCATGGCACCAGTTCCCCAAGGAGACATACGTGCTAAGCAGCTACGGTTATTGGGCCACAGATATGTCCACATTTTCGACTTTGCAGCAGGTTTCTATGGGATTGCGGTCCACCCAGACTCCCAGCCATATATCATGTTCTATCTAGAAGGGCGTGGACACTTTGCTTATGAACGCATGCCATTCGGCGTCACTGGAGGCCCCTCAGAGTTTGGATATGTCGTAGGCGACCGAATGCACGACCTCATAGTGGATGGAACTTGCGAGAACTTCGTCGACAACGGTGGATCGGCAGCGGATTCCTTCGAGGAGGGTATAACGAAACTGCGGCAAATATTGGAACGTGTGCGTAGGGAACACTTGTCTCTCTCCCTGGCCAAGTTCCAGGTGTTCAAGACAGAGGCTGTCTTTGCTGGAGCGTGTGTTGGACCGGGAGGCGTCAGCCCAGACTCAGCAAAACTCACAGCTGTGGTAAACTGGAAGATACCAGAAGACGCTTCGCATTTAGAAGGATTCTTGGGTCTTACAGCGTATTTCAGAGACCTGGTAAAAGGCTATGCGGCCCTTGAGAAACCTCTCCAGGATCTACTACGTGTGGTGGATATTCCGAATGGCACCAAGAAGTCAGTGTATCAGTGAATAATGAAGGCCCACAAGTTGCAGCCACACTGGACAGCAGAGCATACAGCAACCTTCGTGAACCTAAAGGCACGACTGGTCTCAGAACCGGTCCTGACGGCCCCTCGATTTGATGGCACACATTTCATTCTCACCACTGATGCATGCAAAGATGCATTCGCCGGAGTTTTGTCACAGAAAATCAAAACAACCCTTCCAGGAGGCAAGGATGTAACTTGTCTACACCAGCCTTAGCTGTAAGAATTGACCAAATCCCTATGGACTTGAGCACAAGATGCTATTGCATAGAGCCTGCATTCAACCACCTTCCAAAAAGCAAGGATGTTCCACACTCAATTTTCTCATAAAAAATGCTTAGAATTTTCGAAAAAAACTGTTCTGTTTTGATTCCATGTGGATAAAATAACCCTAGGTTGGGTTTTATGTGTATTTCATGTTGGAGAAATGTTTTCCATATGGTTTAGCCATCAATACATCATTCTATGTGGCTATTTTTAGTTTCCTCAGCTTCTTTGACCAAAATGATTCCTTGGAAACCATTTCCATCATCCGAAACCATGCAAATATGTCATCCACCTTACTTTTCCATCAATATATGTTTTCTATATGATCTAGCCATCAATTCATAATTTTATGGTGCTTATTTTTGGTTCCCATAGCTTCTCTTCATGAAATGGTTCTCCGGGAACCACTTCCATCATCGGAACACATGCAAATATGTTCTCTGCTTCAATTTGCCATCAATATACAATTTGTGATGTTTTGCTGCGTCGATTTTTGCCCTTCATCGCATCATCGCATCAATTCTTCCCCCCCACGCATCAAAAGACGCATACAGCTGTCAGAATCCCCATATGTCTTCCTCATATTTCCTTCCGTATTTTTGGTCTTCCGTGTTTGTATGTCGCTATTTTACTTTTTCATATTATCCCCTCTCACGCCCTATTTCACCTTCCTGGAGTTTTTTCATGACCCTGCCTTTGTCTCCCATTTCGAACGTACACTTTGATGAGTAGCTCACAATCCGGTTCAGCGCTATAACCGTCCTCAATTTACGCGACCGACAGTGACAAGGCCAATCTTCCAATTTACGCGAGCAACAAGTACGTCTCAGCATCACGTGTACGCGCAACAACGCCAAGTGTTCAAGTCCAAGAACAAGAAACAATAAATATATGTATAAGTACAACAAGAAGTACAACAAGAATCTGATAAAATTAACTATGCGAGACACAAAGTAAGTATACGAGAGTCCAAGATAACGCGAGTGTGAGATTGTATGTGATAGATCAACCGATACATCAGTACGCGAGCCCAAAAGTTATTTGACAGTCCAAGATGTAAGTATATTAGAGTATAAGTATGATGCAGTCCGATTACACGAAGTGCGCGAAGGGTTTGAATTTGCAAGAGTCGTTGCCAAGATGATGTTCAAGAGGTGCCAAAATGGGGGGAGGGGGAGGCGGCTAGTGTGCGTCTAGCATTGACGTGACCTTGATGGCTTCGAAGTTGGAGCCGGCGGTGAGCTACAGGAAGGGGAGGGTGAGGCAGCTAGCGTTCGCCTAGCGTCGACGTGACCTTGATGGCTTCGAAGTTGGAGCCAGCGGCGAACTACAGGAAATAAAATATGAGCGAGTGTCAATAACCTCTAAGGAGAACTTACCCGACACCCAATAGCCCGTCAAGCACCCATCCGACATCTTCAACGGCAGCCAACCAGCTGGAATCTTCAGTTGGTGGCTTTGACGATGCTGTACCCCACCACAAGAGAGTCGCCATGATGGAGAAAAATGCGTTGCGACCGTGTTTGTCGATTGCCAACCAATCGCGGCCACCTGTCAAGACTGGGCGATGAGTGCGGTCAAGCAAGCCTTCCACCTCGGACACAGCCCTCCATGGTGGTTGTAAACCCTTCCACCATTTCCACCAATTCTCTTTGAAATCTGCGAGGTTTGTGATCTTGGGCTGTGTCGTGCGTCCTCAGGAAATCCAATAATGGACCTCTGGCGGTCGTTTGTCTGACCCGAATCCCGCTGAGCGTGCACCTGGTGCGAAGTCGGTGAGTTTCTCAAACTTTGTCAGCTGATCAATAAGCAACGTAAACTCTGGGCCCAAATTCTGGCTGGAAAGGAGTTGGTGGGCATCTTTGAACCACGAAGGCCAAGAGACTGGTGGCTACCACTTTTATGATAAAACTAAGGGAATTGCCTGTAGAGCTGTGTGTATAAGTCCACAAGTTTTATGAAAGGCATTTCATAGATGTGTCCTGTGCTTTCTTTCTCATAAAACCTATGTTCTTTTCATAAGATATAGGCAAGGCCACAGAGTGCTTTTCATAATTAAACCTGTGCGCTTTCAATAGGTATTTCATTCACTGGGTTAGGTGTATTCATTGCCTTTTTCATAATTAATGGTGTGCACTTTCATTGAATATTTCATTAGGAATTTTGGGCGCTTTCATTGCTTTTTTCATAATTAATCCTGTGTGATTTCAATAAATATTTCATTCACTATGTTAGGTGTATTCAATGCCTCTATCATATCTAATGGTGTGCGCTTTCATTGAATATTTCATTAGGAATATTGGATGCTTTCATTGTACTTTTCATAATTAATGTTGTGCAATTTCAATAAATATCTCATTCCCTAGGTCAGGTGTATTCATTGCCTCTTTCATATTTAATGGTGTGCGCTTTCATTGAATATTTCATTAGG